GGGGACATATGGTTTGAAGTACTTATTGTTATGGACGGAAGCTAAGTTTTACGAATGAACCACTTTGGATAAGATTTTCTAATAATCAAGCCCATCATTTGTTAAGGCGCAATTTTTCTACGCTTTCTCACAAAAAGATTCAATCAAAGTATGTTAAGCATGGGGCACAATAAATACAAATCCACATAAACTTATTTTATAAGTTTTTTAAACGCCACTCACTTTATAAAACTAATTACATCAATGCATCAAAAGCCTGACAATATCCATGAAAAACCTCATAAACAATTCAATTGAACACGAAGATGATGGCAGATAAAGAGCACAACATTAACAATGCACAAATTATGTACAAAACACCTTCAAAGAATCCTAAATTTGTCGAATCTCATTCATTTAACAAAATGGACTGTGTCAACGAGCCTATAAAGCCAAAAAATCTTCAGAAAGAACACCCAATGAAGACAACAGACTATAAATGAGATGGCTCATGAGTCGGAGTTTTTATGCCTCAATCAAATTCAAAATTGTGAAAATTTTTATTGTTTGCAGGACAAACTACATTGACGCATCCAATATATCAAAAATACTAACAAAGGACTTTTCGCATCACTAAACTGTCACACAACAAAAATGATGAACTATAAACATGCAATCAGGCCTAAAAGAACTTCTTGAAGTTGAAACCACTTAAAACATCATCCATTCCCAAAATGTATAATAAGAATGCCTCTTGAGAGGTATAATTATCAAGAAATGATACCTCAAGGTACTGAATCATCACAAAATGGAAACAACATATAATAAGCATGATATCATGCAAATTTGGATGAAAACCACTTAACCACCTCCCATTCATGAAACAAACTATGCCAATAAATCTAATACACTGCAAATATCAAGAGAAGACTTTCACAACCCGGCTCTAATGAATGCAAATAGGATGATGAACTATGGATGTTACATAGGACAAATCAAGCTTGAATTGACCAGATTACAAGTAAAATTGCTCAAACATTACCTGTTCACAAGAAAACTGAACCAACACCTCAAAAATATCAAAATTACTTGGGAAGCATACCTATATTATATGGTTCACCATAAAAAAATAAAAAACAAAAATTGTCTACACATGAGGCAACGATATACATTTTAAGACACGAAAAATAAGGAATTCATGAGTCATAACACATATTATTTTTTTTTATTTTCTCATTTATTAATCTTGTTTCATTCAATTTATTAAAAAAAAATCACATTGGTACCCCTAAATCCTGCCACAGGTAGATCTCACTATTGTGGTGTCGTTAAATGTCTCATTTTGTTCTTGCCCCTATTTATATGAAATATATATATATATATCTAATCACTCCTGCAACCTAGAGCCCAATCTAAGCTTGCATCACTTTCAATGCTCGTATCGAACTGCTCATGAGCTCCCTTCACCTCCACACAGCTCAACTAGCCCTCATCTCCTTTTCACTTGCAACACATTCGAGGACACCCCCCCCCCCTTTCTGTGTATCGCATTGTTCTTGCCCCATTTATATGAAATAATATATATATATATATATATATATTAACGCCCAAGGGTTAATTTTATTGAAATTAAAAAGATACATAAAAGTTGTATGAGAGGACCCAATAAAGGCGCCCTATCAATACGATACACAGACACTGGCATCCTAAAAAGGATAAGACAGATAAAACTTTAAAATTCAAAACTCGCAGAAAATTAGTTGCTAGGGCCGAGCCAGCTTGGTCCTACCTCTGCCTCTGGTTCTAAGAGCGGAGCCAGCTAACAAATTGTTGAGTGCGTGTCATTACCCAAAGTTACTAAAGTATCATCCATTAAGTTTACAAGCTGCGGTGTGCCTCCATTTTTCTTTTTATTCCTAGATGTGTATACCTGTCATTCCTCATCCGAAGACTGGCTCATCTGATCAGTGTGATCAACAGATTGTCGGGCATGTCGAAAAGGATGAGCCCCCAGCTTCTGACTAACAGTAACAACATTCTCGTTCTGAAGAGATGGGGAACATGTCTCCTTAGCACCTGATGCTTCCTGAGGACGTGGAGCTGCGATACTATCCTGATTATCAGATCGAAGAATATCCTTTGGAGGTAAGGATCTTGTAGTATTATTTTCAACAGTGATAGAGACTATAGGATGCCCAAGTAAATCATCTACCAATACATCAGTCAGAAGAACAGAAACATGTAGTGGGAGGGAGAGGTGGCATCATGTTAACCAGTATTTCAATAGTCTGTGGAATGCACTTGGGAGCGAAAGAGGGATAGATATAAAGTGGGGCAGATCCATTAGCATTTTTACTTGGAGGTTTTAGATTCGGATGCAACTGATAACATTGAGAAAGAGAGTGTCCAAGCATACGACAGTGGGTGCAATAAAGAGGTATCTGTTCAAGTTCTACTTGCTGCCAAAATCCCTGATACTGTGTGTCAATCCATATCTCTCCCGGAAAAGGTAAAGTAATATCCCGTTCTATCAAAATTCTGGTTTCAGAAGACCGAGTCAGATTACGTATCAGTTTTGAAAGATATACCGTATATCATCGCTCAAGCGAAGAGGAGCTCCTGATCATATAGGTGGACCTTCAAACCTGGGAAGCGCGGCCAAACAGGAATGGTAGGAGGTGCAGTACGAGGGTCAAAATCCACCATCCATTTTAAATAAAACCTTCATCACCTGGTTGTCTATTCGAAGGAGTCTTCTCGCAAACAAATGGGTGTAGTCTTGATCATTCGCTTTAGTGATTGTAGAAGAGGATGAGCCCCTATTAATTTGAAATGAACGCTTAAGCAATTGAGTATTACTGCTAGTTGTATTAATGGGATTTGCAGCCTCTAAGCATCAATTTTCCCTAACAACCAGAGCAACTCAACACTAGTTACACCCTATTAACTTTGTTTCCTACAAAGATTACAAGGAATTGTCAAGTCGTTAGATTACAATGATGATGATCAGAGGATTCACGTTTTGATAACGTTATCCTCAAGTAATACTACAATGAGGCGCACTACTCCAATTTGGACCAATATCTTGACAAAAATGGTTGAGCAATTCAATATTACTGATAGTTTTATTGTTAGCGTTGGAAACTTCTGAGCATTTCTTCTTTTTTCCCCCTCTTTTTCTTAACAATCTGAGCAACATTTCACAAGTTTCATCCGGTCACACATGTTGTCTGAAGATGTTATGTGGTATAAATTTGCAATGATCAACGGTGCCAACTTGCCTCGTTCTTTTGAACTGAATAGTTTATCAATTCTATATTACAGCAAACTACATTACTTGGGTTAGCAGCTTCTACGCATTTTATTTTACTCTAACAAGCGGAGCTAATTATAGCAATTAATAACATATTAATGATAGTTTGTAAATTTCATGCTTTGGATACCTCAAGTAACAGCATTAAAAAATGAATATACTCAGACGTAAGTTGGGGTTAGCACATGGCCGAATAAGTAGTTTTAAGCATGTGGAGAATAAGCCATGTCATGCTAACTGCATCTCAAAGGCCAAGTGCATGGAGAGACAATCCAGATCATCTAACTAGAAAGCGTAAATATGGAAAGTTCTTAGTAATTTGGTAGTAAAGCAACATTTTGCTGGAAATAATTCTAGGAGGAATACCATGCCATATTTGTGGAAGTAAATTTTAGAACCATCAAACCAAAAAGCGGTTGTGTGATTTGATAAGAAGCCACTCAAAATACATGTTAAAACAAAAACGAGCTGTTTAAAATAACATCAGCATGAGAATATAAGCATTTATAGTTGGAAGTTAAACCAGAAATTCCAGCCACCAATGACCAAGTTTGGGATGAATTTGTTAAGATATTACTAGTAACAAACATAGGTGTAAATTGTATTTGCCGTATAAGTTAATCTTGATTTTGCTAATACTTTCATTTAAAAGTGACCAGATATAACACATTACATGTTAAATCCATTCCACAATTAGAACAATGTGTTTTTGTACAAGTATGAAATTATTACAAGCAATATGGACAAAATAGCCAGCATAGAAATTGAAGGGCCATAGTTCAAAGATGGAAAACTCAACCACAAAGTCCGTGTTGATGTTGATGGTGGGAATTTTAATTTTGATCAGCATTGAAACTCAATGATGTCGTGACTAGACACCAACCATCAACCATCATCGACGCCTATCATCATCGCCACCAAATGCCAATCATTTACCAGGATTAATGCCTAAAATCACCTCCAACAAACAACTTCCTTATATTGACACCTGATACTTACCATTTCTGTCATTCTCATATAAAGAAAAATCAAATAGTCCATCGCTCATCGCTTGACGTCAAAAATTTTGAATCAACCGCCATCTGATGCTTGCCTTTTTGTCGTCAATCTCCTCTCATATAATGAGAACAACCAAGCAAATCCATGATTGTTATCCGACATCTAACGCTCCTAATCAACCATCATCCCAAACCTGCTAAGGTCTAACAATAATCTTCTACCAAGATCTGCCTTCCTAGTCATAATTCTCCTCTCCTAAAGCAAATTTATTGAGTAGACAACTTTTTTGTCAGTTGATATTAAATTTCAACATTCCAAGTCAATCATTATTTGATGCATGCTAAATAGCCTGTTTTCTACCAATACTCAACTAAAGCATTTTTGGTTGAGTCTTTTTCTCTCTTATAAAGAGAATGATTGAGCAAACCACATGATACCTCTTGTACGTATAATGTTTACTTTGTAGCAAGAAACCAAAAAACTATAATCTATAGGAGAAGGAGAAAACATATTTTTTAATTAACATATATGAAATTATAAAACCTTCTCAATTTGTACCTAAAAGAGAGTTAAACTGCATCAACTTTGAATTAGATGAGTAAATTTAAAAAATTCTATTGCAAAAATAATTTTCATTGAGATCTATTAGGTTGATCGAAGAATGAATAGGAAGAAAATAAAAACACAATGTCCATGTTGCATCACTAACCTAGGCCTGGCAATGACAACATCCTTAGGAGAAACAATATAATACAATGGTTCATCACCGGCAGCCCACTGACCACCCGCATAACTGCTTCCTACAATAAAAATAATCAAGATTGTAAGTCGCTACCAAAGTCCTATTCAATTAAAACCTGAAATAACAAAAGTAAAATATTTTATGAAAGAATAAATAATAAAACCTGTGAATGGAGCATGTGCTAGAGTATAATCCTTAGCTTTGTAATGCTCAAAACCGTGCACTGGGAGAGCATCAGTTGTAAGTTCTTCATTTTTCCACGTCACAATCCGTACTTCTGGCCTTTGTGCAGTTCCCTGCATTAGATTTTGTTCATGATAAGGGACTACAATCCATAAAAATCTGAACATAATCAGAGAAAAGACAAATTCGATTCCCCAAGAATTTAAAAGGCTAACATTAAGAGCAACAAGGAGGGAAGAGACTAAATTTTATAGCAGAAGGCTAAAATGCATACACAAAATACAACAGCACATTAAGAGCATAACCCATATAATCTCTTTTTTCCTGCTTCAACAGTTATTACTCCATATGTCAAACTCTGACTGATAAGATTATCCACACAATTTTATCAAATATGAAATTCTAACTTCGTATATCATTCAATCTTAAATGCATATCCTACAAAATGTATGACATAATTAAGAGAAAATATCATTGCAAGTACTTTATAATTCAATAATAATTATTTCGCTTATATAAGCTCATCATGACCCAGCATCAATCCACTGATAAGATTTTCCTGCTAATGTGTTCTATTGTGCAGCTCCACGGCTGTCAAGTCTCTTTCTAATGGTTATTTTATAAACATACTTTTAAAATTAGTAAATAATGATATTAATTTTTTTTATACATATCATCTATAATTTATGAGTCTTCTCTTAAACTCAGCAAGCAAACCGGAACCTCCAATATACAGGGAACTACGCGTCTTAAAAATCAAATGCCCAATTTCACATTACTTGCTCTCCTCTATGAACGTACTTGAGAGATGCTCAATGAGCCTAACTCAGCCCATAATTCCACCCTAATTCAAAGCAAACTTTGCCCAAACTTGTGAAGGTCTATTAATATATCGCATAGCCAAGTTGCACCTCATATCTCAAAAGATTCTTCAAATATCTTTGTTGTCCTCAACAGCCACCAAAACATCTTATGTAACATAAAAATTTAAAAACAACGCTGATTAAAAAGAATTCATCATGAATAATATAAGTTCAAAGCATATAAATATTGTCTCAAATTCTATGAACCACTGTCGGCCATTATTTTGAAAATAATTTAGATCTAATTTAACGTAAATATATGTAATTTGATTTGAAAAATAGTATTTTAATTTTAAAAAATATGAGACCGAGCAGATCCCATATATTTCATAGTTTAGATAATCATGCATCGCTTTTCAAGCAACACACTCATCCCAAGAAATAAGCATGTTACCTGCGAAGGGGGCTCGATTATATAAACTACAGAATTCATGGCATTCGTTTGATCTGTGAAACCTTTTATATATGACCGACAAATTTTCCTATCTAATATAAGGATTAAATAGAATTTATTTTTTCCTGGGTTCCAAATTAGAAGCAAGTCTATATAGTTAATTACATCTTAAATGACTGAAATCACTGATAGAATTTATTTTTTCCTAGGTTCCAAATTCCCTATAGAAGCAAGTTTATATAATTAATTAAATCTTAAATGACTGAAATCACTTAAGAAAAACTCTCGAGTAAAATCAATGGCTTTGTCTTCAAGATTTCAAAGTTTAGTTTTCTACAGTTCGAGAGGGAAAATTAAGTGGAAATGGCTCGAATATGAACAGCTATTTTCAGGAGGCCAAAGGAGTGAAAGGTATGTGATATCACGGATACAAGGAGAACCTCGGTGACATCCAATCTATCTTATTATTTGGCTTTATGTCTTCAAAATAATTTAATTTATTATTTTAGAATTTAGGACTTACATTCGCTCCAAGCCTCTTGTCGTAGCGGCTTCAAGTTTAGAGTTTTATATGTGAGCGTGCAATATTGTTAAGTCGGTGATTTGTTGTAGTGTATCTCCTAAACCAGACTATATCCTAAAGATTTTACGAATTCTATAAGCAAGTGCAAGAATAAAAGAACTATAACAGCGCGGTAAAAAAATGCACTAGGGAGTGCAGAAAAGGAAATAAACAATAAAATATCTTGTAAAGAAAAAAGGCAGTAGAAAATGCAATAAGTAAAATAAACATGTGTATCTAGGAGTCTTTGCTGCTACTGCAAAAATTAATATTGCATATAAAAGTAAATGAGTATAGTAGAGAATTTAGCAGGCAAGGCAAACATACATTTATATATAAAAGAACAAATGGCAAAGCATCATATGGAAAACACGAAGAAAACTGATAGTGACCCAAAAAACTCAAAGAAAGCCGTAAGAAAACGTACGAAAAATTGAGGAAAACCATAAGCATTCAGGTTGGGGTTGGGTCAACTTAATTATTCCCGAAGTACTCTGAAGGCAACCATCGGTCATCCACATGTATAAAGTCCGACATTCAACTAGAAATTTCCAACAAGACAATCTTAGGATAATAATTCTTAGCGCCGAACAAGTAATTGACAAGCGGACGATCAAATTGTATCATTTAAAGTTTGTGGTTTGTCATGCATATAAGCAAAAATAGTTTTATTTTAGCTAGCAATCGAAAGTATTTACTTTGTAAAAGAAATATCTGTTTTGTCTTCATATTTGTACATTTTGTAAAATAGATCGTCCACGAGTCAATTACACTGTCGTGCTAGGATTGTCGGTAGCATGAAGCAAGGGACATTTTAAACATTTCCGAGAGAGAGGCATTTTAAACAATTCTGAATAGCATCCAAATCAGCCCATAAAGTGCCACAAAACAGTAAGAAAAGCCTTCCAAATCACCTAACAAACAGTAGGTAAAGCCCTCAAGATAAGCTAACAAACAGTAGGTAAAGCCCTCAAGATAAGCTGAAAAGATGGCACTTAAAACTTTCAAATGCTGGGCAAACCAACCCCGGGAGAGGCATTTTAAACCTTTCCGAATAACATCCAAATCAGCCCATAAAGTGCCACAAAACAGTAAGAAAAGTCTTCCAAATCAGCAAACAAACAGTAGGTAAAGCCCTCAAGATAAGCTAGGAAAGATGGCATTTAAAACTTTCAAATGCTGGGCAAACCAACCCCGAGAGAGAGGCACTTTAAACCTTTCCGAATAGCATCCAAATCAGCCCATAAAGTGCCACAAAACAGTAAGAAAAGCCTTCCAAATCAGCAAACAAAGAAAAGCCTTCCAAATCAGCTAACAAACAGTAGGTAAAGCCCTCAAGATAAGCTGAAAAGATGGCATTTAAAACTTTCAAATGATGGGCAAACCAACCCCGAGAGAGAGAGACTTTAAACCTTTCCGAATAGCATCCAAATCAGCCCATAAAGTGCCACAAAACAGTAAGAAAAGCCTTCCAAATCAGCAAACAAATTGTAGATAAAGCCCTCAAGATAAGCTAGAAAAGATGGCATTAAAACTTTCACATGAGGTAAGAAAAGCCTTCCAAATCAACTAATAAAAAGTAGGTAAAACCATCAAGATAAGCTACAAAAGATGACATTTAAAACTTTCAAATGATGAGCAAACCAACCTCGCGAGAGAGGCATTTTAAACCTTTCCAAATAGCATCCAAATCAACCCATAAAGTGCCCCAAAATAGTCAGAAAATCCTTCCAAAATTGAAATTTAGCTCTCTAAAACAATAAAAATACTATGCCAAAACATTGAAAATATTATGCCAAAACAGCCACCAAACAATTTTAATTGAAACATCATTTCTATTACAGAGCTTATATCCAAAGCTGGGGATGAGATATTTATCAATATCCAAATTACAACGCATGTAATTATTCGAAATGATATAGCTATCAAAATTTTTAATGAAGCAACAGATCTACAACTTCACATTCAAATTCAGGTGTTGAATATTTAAATATAAAGGAATTGGGTGGTGTGTATGTAAAAATTTCTGAAGTACAGTTAGAGGATATGAATGATGGTACAAAAATGACCTTAAGAAATTATTTGTTTCCTTTAATAGTTCCAAATAAGTGAAAGATCGAAATAATTTTCTACTTCAATCATTGCAAATAGCACATGGAAACCTTTCAGATTTTCACAAAAGAAAAGCACCAAAGAAAAGTATTCAGATTTTCACAAAAGAAAAGCACCAAAGCTACAAGTTTTTGCAAAGAGCATATGAAACCTTTCAAATTTTCACAAAAGTATAGCACCAAAGCCACAAGTCTTTGACATCACCGTGGTTCTTTTTTTTTATTTGGCAAACGGATGTGCCAAGAAGTAATAGTTATTTCGTTCAACAAGCATATTTCAAATGCAAGGAAGAGCTTTATTAAATCATGATTGTCCTATTAAACTGTGTTAGTTAAGATTTACAGGCAAGGTAAACGGATTGCCCTCTTAAACTTGTATGTATGCGTTGACTGTAGCCCAAGGATAATATGATCTTTGCACATATATATTCTATCTTAAGGAAAGAACAATGCACCAAAATTAAATGAAAAGCTCTACAGCGTTATGGATCGCAGAAAACAGTGTTTAAGTGAAGTTCAAGTGAATTCAAATACATCATACGATAGGTGTATAGAACTTTTCCAATATTGGTTGTATACATCACGTGAGCTAAGAAAACAGGAAATCCATTCATAATTCAAGCTGGTTAAACCAAATTTCAGAAGATAAAAGGAAATGATTTAACTTAATCAAATCAGGAATAAGAATGCACTTCTTATCCCATGTGATACTCCACAAATAAACCAAAGAAGAAAGTATAATAATAGGATTCTTACCTCCAAAATGCTCGACAAATCAAGGACAAAATTTCAAAAGCCCAACCAAATTTCAATAGCCAACAATAACCCCTAAACCCCTCAAACTCTCCCCTAATGGGTTTTTAATAGCAAAGAGAGGAGAAAACTCGCCTTCACCAACCAGTGAAGAGGTGGCCAAATAAGGTAAAGGGAGAGGAGAAATGCATTTAGGGAGAGAGAGCAGGCAGCATGGAGAAGAGGAAAGGCCAGCCTGAAGAAGATGTAACGTCGGCCAACGACTCATGAGGAAGAAGGGGAATCGGCTGCTAAGGCTTGCAATCAAACCAGCAGATTCGCGAATGGAAGAGGGGCGCGGGAGAGTGCGGAGAAGAGGATTTTCAGGCTCGGGTGAGATGTCGAGCTAGAGGGGAGGATCGCGATCAGGAAGAAGAGCGTGGAGAAAGCT